GTGCCGGTTATCAGTGGGTTTTTAACACCACTCCGTGCTAATTTCATGAATTTAGGAAGCTGCGAAACCTTCTAATGTCATTCCCGGCTCAAAAACCCTTCTCCCTTCTTCAATCAAAGACATTCTTCTCATGATATTCGATAAGGATCAGATGGAGAGTGCCATGCTGAGTTTTCAAGTGTGTTGTTATCAAAAGCTTCAAGTTGATTATTTGTGAAATTGGGTCATTGTGTTCTCTTGCAGCTCGATCTTGACAAAATGCCACTAGGAAGACTTTCTAAGAGGCAAATCACAAATGCCTTTGCCGTTCTGACAGATCTCCAAGCTGTAAGTTTTTTTGTGATTTGACTTTGTCATGCTGCTTATTTTGTGGCATTGCTTTGGAAGCGGTGCGCTTTCAAATTGTTGCCAAAAACCTCCGATTCTTTTGGATTTGGATTAGTATAATATTTTAGTAGGGTCAGTATAATTCTCAGAGATATTTTGATATGATTCTAAGACGTTGGGCGCATTTTGGTCCTGGCTCGTTGTGCTAGTGAGAAGGCCTTCCAAAAAAAAAACGCTTCTTCGCGAGCGTTATAGCTTATCTTGTGGAATTCATTAGCATTGGGGTGTGGGGGTAGCTACAACTGCTTGCTCATGTTTCCTACTGTAGCTGGGCATATCGCAATATTTTTCGGTTCGAGTTTTAAAAAGCTTAACCATTCAGAAATTCCTCATTCATTTATCACGTTGTAACTATTCCTACCTATCATGATGGTGTTGAAGATTCTGGCGGAAAAAGCAGACGCTGACAAAATTCTCGATGCCACAAACCGTTTCTATACGCTCATACCGCACAGCTTCGGAATGGCCAAACCTCCATTGCTGAACTCAACAGCAATAATCAAGGCAAACATTTATTTTTTTTTGGAAGTGAACAAAAATTTGACAATCACATTGTTTGATTTAGGAGAAGTGCGATATGTTGGGTACACTTCTGGAGATTCAAATCGGATATGAAGTCATTAAACAAGAGGAAGGTGAAACTGAAGATACTCGTGATCCGGTCGATATTCACTACGAGAAACTTAGATGCAAAATGGAGGTGATTCAATCGTAAAAATCCAAGGAATAACTCGTGGAATTACTCAAAGTTCTTGTTGACATCACTACAAATTAGGTCGTCGACCATGATTCGAAGGAATTCGAAATGGTCAAGCTGTATGTGGAAAACACCCATGGTGAAACGCATACGATGTTCAAATTGGAAGTCGTTGATGTAAGATCATACTCAGATTTGTGTTCTTGGAAACTGAACATAGTCGGCCTTTGTAGGTTATTCGTGTCGATCGTGAAGGCGAAGAGAGCAAATTCAAAGCCGACCTTGGTAATCGCCGACTTCTATGGCACGGATCTGGAACTGCTAATTATGGTGGAATTCTCTCACAAGGTCTTCGCATAGCTCCACCTGAGGCACCTGTGGTCAGTCTTTTTTTGGGAATTGAGAACTGTCAGCACAATTCGGACCGATGTCCATTCCGCGTAACGTTCACGTGTGGCCGCAGCCCTTTTCTATGCAAGGTTGACGTGACACACCACGTGTGTCACGCGGCCCCGAAGCAAGTTTCAATCACGATTATTTTTATTGATGGCCTCACAGCGTTGGTTCTCATGGATTATTTCACGCCCTAATCATGAATAGCACGCCCATTTTAAGCGCTGGCGCCATTCTTGCCCGTTTGACACCACCTTTTTTAAATCGGTATACGAATTCTTATTTGGAGGTGTTCAAGAACCGTGATCGCCTACACAATGTTCAATTTTGACGCCGTCGCCATTTTTGGCGGCGATCTTTTTCACAAATA